GAAAGGGCCAGATGCCCCAATGAAATCTCCCAATGAAAAATCTAATGAAATGGTCAAGGAGTGTAATGAAATATCCTAATGAAAGTGCCAAGAAGCATTCTAATGAAAATTCAATGAAATGGTAATGAAAGGGTCAAGGAGCTGAATGAAATATCCCAATGAAAATTCCAAGAAAACCTAATGAAAGTGCCAAGGAGCCTAATGAAATATCCTAATGAGAAATATAAAAAATCGTAATGAAAAAGCGCAGGAGCCTAATGAAATATCCTAATGAAAATTCTATGAAATGGTAATGAAAAAGCAAAGGAGCCTAATGAAATATCCTAATGAAAATTCTACGAAATGGTAATGAAAAAGCACAGGAGCCTAATGAAATATCCTAATGAAAATTCTAAGAAATGATAATGAAAAAGCGCAGGAGCCTAATGAAATATCCTAATGAATTCTAAGAAATGGTAATGAAAAAGTGCAGGAGCCTAATGAAATATCCTAATGAAAATTCTAAGAAATGATAATGAAAAAGCGCAGGAGCCTAATGAAATATCCTAATGAAAATTCTAAGAAATGGTAATGAAAAAGCGCAGGAGCCTAATGAAATATCCTAATGAGAATTCTAAGAAATGATAATGAAAAAGCGCAGGAGCCTAATGAAATATCCTAATGAAAATTCTTTTGAAATGGTAATGAAAAAGCGCAGGAGCCTAATGAAATATCCTAATGAAAATTCTTTTGAAATGGTAATGAAAAAGCGCAGGAGCCTAATGAAATATCCTAATGAAAATTCTTTTGAAATGGTAATGAAAAAGCGCAGTAGCCTAATGAAATATCCTAATAAAAATTCTATGAAATGGTAATGAAAAAGCGCAGGAGCCTAATGAAATATCCTAATGAAAAGTCTCAGAAATGATAATGAAAGGGCCAAAGAGCCTAATGAAATATCCCCATGATATCTCATTATCCTTGTCTATAACTTATGAAAGATTCCAGTGATAAATTGAATGAAATAGATGGGCAATCCTAATGAGATGCCTTTCATAAAACCTGTGGCATTATACACAATGGCTCTTGGACAGTTGTCATAGATTAATCATAAAAGTGGTAGCCACCAGTCGTTCAGTGGCAATCCAATCCCGAATCCTGAGGTCTTTGATACCCGGGATTATCATTGTGACCTGTTTCTCAGCAGGAATGGACTTCGAGATGAAGAAGTCGAGCGCCGCATTTTCAAAATCCATCATCACAGCTGGGGAAACATCCCCTTCAGTCAAGACAGGCGCCTTGGCGCTGGTGGGCTCTACTGTTGCAAGTGTGGACATTGTGTGATGATGTTTTTTGTGGATATATGCGGGTTTTTTGTGGATATATGCGTCTTCTTCGGAGTCTGAAGAGTCGGATGAGAGTAGGAGCGGTGGAGATGGTGATGGGAGTGTTAAAGGTGAAGACGGTTCGTGAAGAGATAGAGGACGGTTATTTCTAGAACGCGTAGTGCTGGTCAAACCATTAAGGAGAGGGAGTTGTTGAGCAAGTGCGGTGGTACAGGTGAAGCGAGGCAGTTCCAGCGTTACGGTTGGCATGAGCGCGTCCCAAAAGGGGTTCACGGATGACGGCGGTATAGGGGTACAGGTAAGTAACCCTCCACTAATCAGACAGTTAAAAGCGTGTCACAATGGACAAGCACGACAGTTTATGTACAGAGATGATGCGATAACGCGTCAAGCAAACACCTAGTGGGAATTCCAAAAGGGCATGCCTATATGCGCGAAATACACGTCAGAATCTAAAACGGTGGCGATATTTCAAAAAAAGTGGAAATCTACCCGGAGGGGTAGATAACACTGCTCACAAGACAAACCAACAGAAATAAACCACGTCTATGATTCTGGAGGTTCTAGAGGGAAAGTATGGGTACAGGAGAGTAAGATGCGTATGGGAAGATGGTGGTAAGAGTCCAAGCGCGGAAGCGCACAGGAAGAAGTCACTTTATCTGTACCAATTTACGGGGGTACCGTAAATTTTGTAAAATCGCCATTTGCCAGATTCTTTGCTCGACGTCCCTGACGGCCCATCAATCCACTCGTCACCCCCTGCACCAAGCCTGCACATCTCCACTCGCCCAGCGGTCCGCTCCTTACTCATTTCCACTGCCAAACACAGCTGCATCGGCCTCCACCGCCTCGAAATCGCCTTCTAGGCCCCGCTTAGTTAAGACGCTATGATGATGGAGAAGGCCAAAGCCGCCACTGTTAATGGAGCGTAGATGGGGAGAGTCTGAAAAGGAGACCCAATCCTTTTACATGAACAATGGTACGCGACTCATCCAGCTACTCGCATTGACCCTTTCTCTTTATTAGTTTCAAAACAGACTTATCCCAGACTGGTTCTACTGTCTACAACAAGGCTATGGCCACCCTCGTCAACAGTGTACTCCACCTCAAACATACACCCGTTCATTAACACCTCTGCCTCCAAGACAAACATAGCCTCCTTCAATCATCAATATTTTCAAGCGCAAGTCCTCTCGCGGTGCTCCCCCAAAGCAACCTCCCTCTAGAAGACCCACACTACTCATTGCTGCGCCCACTGTTCCCCTGCCAATGACCATCGCCAACTCTGCTTTGAACACGCCCACCTCTTGCTCCTCTCACTGCGGGCCCTGGCTTATATATCCACTGGGTATAATGTGGAAAAATGGAGTAGATATTAATCATAATGTTCCCTTTTATCTACTGGAATTAGTTGAAAGATATTTACAATCTTTTATTTCATTTTATCCATTTTTTTCTGTCGGAGTTATTAAGAATTTGTGGGGGTGGATAAATGTCGAAGATATTGGAGAAAATATTTCCACAAAAGGCAAGTCCATATTTGTGCAGCAAATATGTGGAAGACCACGAGGCGAAGAAGCTACTAAATATAGAAGTATTCTCGGATCTAACACTTGATAAGGCTATTACAGCCATTGCAGCCTTATCAAGCAAGTGAGAATACTTCTATATTTAGTAGCTTCTTCGCCTCGTGGTCTTCCACATATTTGCTGCACAAATATGGACTTGCCTTTTGTAGAAATATTTTCTCCAATATCTTCGACATTTATCCACCCCCACAAATTCTTAATAATTCCGACAGAAAAAAATTGATAAAATGAAATAAAAGATTGTAAATATCTTTCAACTAATTCCGGTAGATAAAAGGGGACATTATGATTAATATCTACTCCATTTTTCCACATTATACCCAGTGGATATATAAGCCAGGGCCCGCAGTGTCTCTCCTTTTAGACAATAGCAACATCACGCCGTCGCCATCGTCTTCAGAATCTCAACATCGCAATCTCATAAAACCAGGTTTCAAATAACGCACCCGTCTGAGTGATAAGAAAACCCTCGAAAACAACATCCACTTTAAAATTCACTACTCAGACGGGAACTCACCAGTTCGATTCCTCCCTGGTGACACACTGCATTGACCTACGACACGGACTATGACGCATATTGTAATATATGCATCCTCACGCCCCACCTTCCTCTACACGCTTTGCTCCTGTGTCAGCGATGCAGCCCCATGGTCCGAGTTGTCAGCTCTCCCTCCTCTTTTGCAGCTGCGCCGCACACTTTACCAAGCGCTGTCTTGCGACCTACAGGCTACATTGACTCTGAGGATTTGGCCAAGCTGTCCCTTGTTGCCTTGTCGACATAACTGTAAGTGTCATTTTTATTTCTTTAGATGATGGTCCCTGCTCATATTACCACATGCTCCCATCACTGTGCCTCAAATCATTTCAATATTAGGTGCTAACATCCCCACATTAACATCGTCGACTTGCGACTTGTTAAGATCCGGAGATTTTGATGACGGTGTGCCTGTGCGCACCACTGACGGCGATCATAAACTAAGGCGCTCTGCATTCTGGGATTCTACTTACTTTCAGATTGTACAGGGTGAGATCCCTTGGTTTTTTCTTTGCTGTTGGGGTGCATCCATACCTCGAGTAGAAGCAGCATATGTAGCGCAATAAATTGAATAATCTAATGTTGTCTTTTATGAGTCTGTGGAAGAAGGAAGCCAAGCTTCTGAATGGGCGTGGTAAGGGAGGGTAAGGGACTTGAGATTTTACAAGGACGGAATGCTTGGCAATGGATAAATCTGTAAATCAATCACCAGGGTCTACTAGGGTCTAGCTCACTGTAATTTCAACCATTCGGCTCCTGGACCGCGCCAGCTCACTGTAAATCCCTGTAAAATGAACCCGATTTACCGTAAATTCTGGGAGTGTAAGTTCTTACCGCTTCTTACCACTACTTACCCACCTTATTCAATACCTGTTTCCTGTTGGTTTCCTGTATATCAATTCCTGTGTGCATCTGTATTTACAACAGGATCCCCCTCCAGATGAGATAGCCTTGGAAAGTGTATATATACTATTTAGGGCCATAGGGACTATTAGTATAATGGCCAATACTTAGATGGTCCACTTCACCAGATATTTTGAAAACAGACGCAACGCGACACATTGGTTCTATTTGGTGTGCACGTGCATGTGTTCCCATCAACAAGTACTCAACGTTCAACGCCCAATGTTGCAACATTGTCACCCTCCACCCTCCTCCACCACTGTTCGCCGCTCAAATGCTTGAAGACAACAGCTTCTTCCATCGTCTCCGCATGCCCGATATCGCCTCCACACGCTCTCCTTACTCGCCCACTGATTTCCATCCAGGATTTGAGTGGAACCAATAACACCTACTTCATGACTTCAACTGGGGGATGCCTCCAGATGACTGAGGCCGATGGGATGGAAGGGGAGTCTGATGCCATGGCCGAGTACGTGTTTGAGACCTGATTCTTTCTACTTTATGTTGATTCTTTCCTTGTAAGGTGGTCCAAGCAGGAATTTGCCATCATTACTGACAATGTGATGGGCGACTACGTCATGAATAATAAGAACGGCGTCCGCACGCATACCTCGGCGCTCGTCTCTTTTTCGCCACTTCTGACGCCGTCAGCTAACACAAGACTCTCGACGAGGTCTACACAGCCCCCATCCTCACACAGATTCTCGACAACAGCAAAGACCAAGCGCGACGGAACGCAGGACAATGTCCTCTTCCTGCACCTCTTCCTCAAGTTCCCTGCTTACACCCCTGCAACTCACTGTGTAAGCGGGCTTCCTTGCCTCTCACATTATACTTTGCTAATGTACCTTTCAGTTGTCATGGTGCGCGACCAGAACCGCTACAGCGGTGCCAACAAGTGCTTGTTGTAGAAGGCCTTTGTTAGTCGGGGACTTGGCGTCAACGCTAAGACTCGAGTGTTTCTCAAACCAATTCCCTTACAGTAACTTTTTCTAATATTAGTCTACTCTGTGTAACCATAGTAAAATTCTATGAAATTATATTGTATGACCTATGAATGCTATGGTTGTCATTTTATCTGAAATTATGAGGGTCTGAGGGGTATTAGCTCCCAGTTATGGAGATTAGAAGTAACTGGCAATTTTTACTTGAAATTTGCATTTGGGGTTTTTTCTGATGAGGTAGATTAAAGGATCCAGCTGACCATCTCCTCCGTTCCAAGCTCCCAGGCCAAGGAGCAGACCAGGCCCGCACGCCGCGCCCTTCATCGGTGAGGTAAGAGGCCGGGAACAGGGCGGGCGGCGTCGACGACGACGAGCAGGCACCCCGAGGCACGGCTGTTTGGCTGCAGGGCGGGGACGCAAACAAAGAACATGCGTCAGCAGGTGGAATCCCAAGAGCACGTGACCGAATCCGCGTAAATTCTCAGTATTAAGTAGAAATACGAAAGAGAAGCAACAAGTCCAAACAATGGTAACAGGTCACTTCAGTCACCCAGTGCCAACTGACTATTAGTCATGCAAACTCCACGTAAGTTACATGACTAAATGTCATGGACCACATTTATATTCTATATATATTTGGGTCCTAGAAAGCCCTGAAATCTAAAATATATTCTTGAGACATGGACCCTGAAATGTCACACAAAAATTATAATGTCTGTGTCACACCACCAAAATATATTTTGCAAGTGAAATGCAGTAAGGATATATTTTTGGTGAGTAGACCCTGAAATGTCACTGTCACACTTTAGAAATATATTTTTGCCCTGGCTTGGCCTTGGGATATATTTTGTGAAACAGATGTGGTAAGGATATATTTTCCTGGTGTCAGGGGTCCTAGTTTCAGCAAAAAACTTGTGATTTGAGGTATATATTCTGGAAGATTCTGCAATGACTTCCAGGGGTTTGGCACTATGTCTGGCTTGTGCACCCTGTATGTAGGTAGCAATAAGGGGCATCAATAGCATCTGTAATCTACCTGAGTTGCTTAAGTATCATCTACTTCCAATCACACTATGAATACAATTCGTGTTACAGATTCATTCATTCTCCTATAACAATTTTGGGCCTCAATGACATGTGTGATTCACCTTGATGCTATTCAGTCCAAGATTCCTGAGTTGCTTAAGTATTATCCACTTTGACACTATGGATACAGTTCACACTATGGAATTTTTTAGCTGCTTAGAAATCCCCTTCACCTCATCCTCTACTTCAGCTCCCAGATCTCCAGTTGCACCTTATCTGCATACCCCACCAACATCTGTATTAGTCAAACCCCAGCATGTGATATCAAACATCTCTCCCACCAGTTTCAAAAACCAGAGTTCACAAAGTTCTCTGTTGTTTCTCTCTTTCTCTGTTGTTTCTCTCTTTCTCTGTCCAGTTGCACCTTACTCGTGCCCAAAAAAAGTAACAGGAAACATGTGACTGATCACTTGTCCCATCTTGCCAGCATGATGGACAGATGTTCTGCCAAGGACAATACCAATGAACCTGTTTTTCTTTGGGGAGTCGTGCTGAGTTCTTGTAGTCTTAGTACAAGTCATTTATTGTGTAGAGAATAGATGGATTGTGGAGTAATACAATGATAGTTCAACATGTTGCAACTGTGATCAGTCACATGTTGTCTGTTACTTATTTTGGGCACAAGTATCTGCATACCCCACCAACATCTGTATTACCATCCTGTGCCAGTCAAACCTCTGCATGTAATATCAAACATCTCTCCAAACCCACTTTAACAGATGAGAGTTCACCAAGTTCTTTGTTGTTTCTCCCCTTCTCTTCCTCTCTCCCTCTCCTCCTGTTCTCCTCTCCCTCCCTTCCTCTCTTTTTCTCTTGATTCTTGATTGTAAATTTATGGACAACCAATTCCATTCTTCTCTAACAACTTCTGTTCACCAGGTCATAAGATTGAGTCACACATATCTTTCCACTAAATTCTGAACCAAGATTTATTTCTCAACCATATCATGAATTCAGATACATAATTTTTGAACTATACTAACCCTGTCCCTTACATCAGACCACTGGGGTCATCCAGTCACCTCGAATAACTCACTCAAATCTTCATCAGACATCTTCAAACTGTATATACAATTTAACAACCATACACTGAGCTCATCCCAGGTAATTTTCTGCTAAGAAAATGGTATTGTACTGCATGCTTAAAACAGGTCTTGTCACAGCTTGCCATTGTTGCCATGTCAGAGATCAGTGCATCACATCAATGCATCAATCACCTCCATCACGGTTTCAAGCACAGTTTTGTAATCCACAACCAGTAGTGAGACTTTTGATCAGAACTTGAATTCATGCCTGTGATGTTTTGTGACTGACCGAACGACTCCACCCTTCCAATGTAAGGGACAAGGTTGGTATCATGAATATTTTAATTAGATGCTGAAGCAAGATATATTTATCAACAATATCCTGAATCAACATACATCATCTTACAAGTATATCTTGAATTTTCCCACTACATTCTCAACCCAGATTTATTTTTAAACTATATTCTGAACAAGGATATATCTTTCAACTATATCTTCAGCAAAATTATATTCACAAGACATATATTTCAACAAGATATTGAACCAGGATATATTACCGATATATATTCTTAAGCTATATCTTGAGCAAGGATATATCTTTCAACTTTATCTTGAACCAGGATATATCACCAAGATATATTCTTAGGCTGTATCTTGAACAAGGATATATCTTTCACATCCTTAGACTATATCCTGAACCAGGGTATATTACTAGGATATATTACCAGGATATCTTTTATATCCTGATCTTGGTAGATGTAGATTTATCTGTAGAGTCAGAAGGGAAAGGTGCATTTTATTCAACACAACTACATAGATTTACATTACTACATTAAATATTAAATAAAGGGAAGAGGGAGTGAGGGAGATGCAGTGAGGAAGGGTGAGGGTGGTGGGCAATGAGAGAGAGGGGAATGGGGTGGTAAGCAATGAGAGAGGGGTGGTAGGGACAGGGGAAAGAGGGGGGAGGGAGGTGGGTGGTAGGCAATGAGGGAGGGAGGGGGTTGGTAGACAATGAGGGAGGGGGGAAGGGGGTAGTGGGCAGTGAAGGAGTGGGCAGTCAGGGAGAGGGGGTGAGGGTGGTCAGTGAGGGAGAGTGAGGGTGGTGGGTGAGGGAGAGGGGGTGGTGGGCAGTGAGAGAGACAGGGTGAGGGTGGAGTACTGAACCTCGTCGCCGTGTGGGTGGTGGGCGCTCATCGTCGTTGCCGTCCGTCGTTTGTACCCCTCGTCGTCTGGTCGTTTGTCCGCCCTCTTCCTCGTCATCGTCGTCGTCGTGTGTACGCCCATGTTGTCTCGTCGTGTGTACGCCCTCGTCGTCTCGTCGTTTGTCCATCCTCCTCCTCATCGTCATCGTTTGTCCGCCCTCCTTCTCCTCGTCGTCCGTCGTTCATACGCCCTCATCATCGTCGTCCGTTCGCCGTCGTCCGTCTTTCGCCCTTCGGTGTCCTCGTCACACCGTTGATTGGCGTCTGCCTGCCCGGCATCGTTCCGCGTTGTGACGTGGCCGCTGACGTGCGGCATGAGGGAGGGGTGGGATGGCGACGTAGGGTGTGCTTTGGCGGTGGCCTTCATTCCCTTCATTCGTGGGCAGCCGTCCTCGTCTTGTTCGTGGGCGGTCGTGGACGTTCGCGGGTGGTCGCGGTCGTGGGTGGGCGCTCGTGGTCGTTCGTGGGCGCTCGTGGTCGTTCGTGGGCGTTCGTGGTCGTTCGTGGGCGATCGTGGTCGTTCGTGGGCGATCGTGGTCGTCTGTGGGTGTTCGTGTTCGTCCATGGTCCACCGCCCACGTCTTCATCGGTGGTCGTCTTCGTTTTGGTTGTCGTGGTCCTCGAGGCGGTTGTCGTGGTCCTCGAGGAGGAACAAATACGAGAACGACGACCAATGTCGTCGTTCGTCGTCTGGTTGCCACATCGCAGGTGGCACCTGGTTGCTGTCAGAAGGGGGAACATCGGGGTTGTGACTGCTTACCAGGCTGGGTTGGGCACGACCTCGTCATGGTCCGTGACGACGTTGGGTGTCGTCGTGCGCCGTCAACGTCGTTACTTTCGTGGGTGCTGGTCGTCGATTTTCGTGGGCGGTGACCATCGTTTCCCCGTCAGTCTTCGTTGTGTGTGGTTTGTTGGGGTGTTGTTGTCGTTTTTGGGCGGCCGGGGTTGTTTGCGGTGGTGGGGGTTGCATGACCTGGTATGGCGGCGACGTGGTGGTGATGTGGAGTCGGCGTTGACGGTGTGGTGGTGGTTGTGGGTTGAACGAAATAAGAACGTCACAGAGTCACAGTATGTGATGTTGGTTTCAACGTCTAAGTTCACGCTCACGTTTGGCTCACCACTGTTTCCAGTTAAATTTTGTAGTGTCCATTATACAGCCTTGTAGTATGCCCATTTTTATTACAGAGATTTTTAGTGTCTGCTCTTTGGAAAGACAAAAATATGTAGTGTCTACTTTTTAAGACTACCAAAATTTGCATTTTTCATTACAAAACTTTGTAGTGTTCGCTTTTTGGGACTACAAAATTCTATAGTCTCCTCTCCTGCTGTGCACTTTTCATTACAAAAGTTTGTAGTCTCCATATCTTAGAACTACAAAAGTTTCTAGTGTCCACTTTTCAAAGGTGTGCTGGTATCTTGTAGTGTCCTTGACTCTGAGTAGGTATATGAAAATATAGCTCAATGTTTCAAAGAAGTTGACATTAGCAACACAGCCCTCTATCATTCTGTCTTTGTACATACCCTCCATAGAATTATGGTGAAGGATGACTATGACAAAGAAATAAAATAGAAAGACAGGACACCCCACACTGAAATGTCAGAGAATTCAAACCCCAACTAGACAAGGGGTAGTAGACATCAAGGTCATTCTTAACCATAATTCTAGGGAGGATACAGTCCATACAGAAACTATAAAAAGACCACAAAAACTCAGTCTCCTTTTTATTCATTAGAAA